GGACAGGTTTCCGTCGGTGGTAGGGCAAAGCGGCAGGCCCTACGGGGGGCTCTCTCCGGAGCCTTTCGGGTCTCCGCGGTCACAGGCCGCTGCCTGGAGTGGGGCCGACAGGGCTGGCGCTTCCCAGAGCCGGCTGTGTGTTCCGGCTGAGTTGTGGCCGAAATGAAGCCAGTCCTTATGCAGTGGGTCACCTTGGAGCTGGCCAAGGTGCAGGGGCCTGCCCCGTTACCAGTGTGCCGGCTGCCCCGTGCTGCTGGCTCACCGGCACAGCAAGCCCCCCCGGGAGGGCCTTCCCAGTACGAGATCTCGCTGTTCCCGTCAAAGGGGGTCGGGGTGGGACTGGGTGGGGTGTCTGTGCAATATAGGTATATGACACAGTGAAAAGAGTATTTAAAAATACATGTGTGGTGTCTATGGGAAGGAAGACCAATCTTGCTCCTACAAACAATGACTCTGATAATGTTTGTGGCTGGAAGTGTCATAAAATGATGTATGTGTGTCTGCTGTTTTTGTGCTAATGCTAGAGCTTGCTGTAACAATTAGGGTGTTTAAAGAGACAGCTGTTATGTTACTAGTATCTTCCATCAAGTCAGAGGCTGTTACTGTATCTAATATGGCCGAGTGTCTCTCATTCTCAAATATTGATCTTGGATTTTAACTTTTGTGGAGTAAACTTGCTGTTTATTATTTGCCCTGTTTTCAGGCTTGTTTTTTACCCGTTTCCTCTCAAAATCTAATAAGCAAGATGTCTACTAATGAGAATGCCAACGTAGCAGCAGCTCGCTTGAACAGATTCAAGAACAAAGGAAAGGACACTACAGTGAGTATTCTGATGCAATTAGTATTTTAGCTAGCCATCATCTCTTTAAACATGAGTTGTAAAAGCCAAGAACTTACTATGAATGTATATCCTCTAGGAAATGAGAAGGCGGCGTATTGAAGTCAATGTAGAGCTGAGGAAAGCTAAGAAAGATGACCAGATGCTTAAAAGAAGAAATGTTAGCACTTTACCAGATGATGCTACTTCTCCCCTTCAGGAAAACAGGAGCAATCAGGTAAGTAGGTCCTGAGAACGGGCACACTTGGAGGTCTTGGAACATAAGCTCATGCAGCCATGCTAGTATGAACTTCTCATGCGGGACACAGCGCTACTACATATACGTTACCAACTTAAGTCTATGCTACCAACTCTAATGGACAACACTCTTAAAATGTAGCTTAGCCAGTTGTGTTTAAGCCTACTGTGTCAGTGTAACAGTGGTGTGAAGCACTTGATTAAAAAAAGCTTTCAGTAGTTTGGGTAACTGTAGAGATAAAGTTGTAGCTGATGAGGTTTTGGAGTATCACACAGTGGTATAATTTCTTAATAAAGGAAGTGGTTGTAAACTGGGGTCTATTGATAGTATTGTACAGAAGGCCTCTGTGGTCATGAAGACATATGCCTCTCCTGACAAAGCATTCACGTAGCTTTTTATTGTACAGGTTTCAGCACACTGGTCAGTTGAAGAAATAGTCAAAGGAGTTAACAGTAATAATATGGAGCTTCAGCTACAGGCTACTCAAGCTGCCAGGTAAGGAGTTTAGAGGTAACCAATTCAGCTGTGCAAGCCAGTAACTAGGCAAGGTAAAAGAACTGGCTTATGAGCCTAAGCATTTGCTTATGGCAGCAGCTATGGCTCTTATCGGACAGTATTTCAACAAACACCTGAGTCAGCCTTATGTACAACATCTAGGTACGCTTAACTTAGTCATAATTGTACTGAAACCATGTGGCTTTTGAATGTTTAAAGTGCCTACACATTTTACTAGGAAGTAGTAATTCTTTCTAGTTGTTTTTGAGGTGGCGAAATAAACAGTAGTCCATCTTGTTGTAGGAGTAATAGTAATAATAAACCTTTTGTTATAGCAAAATAAGATATCTTTAAACTGTGTTAACACTTGACTACAATATTTGAGTGCAGTGATCTACCTTAGAATAGAACAGTAAGATGACTGGGGTTTGAAGTATGCCCAATTTCCTTTTTCCTTCCAAATCTAAAACCTCCTTTGGCAAGCTTGTATAGTGCTGCAGTGCTGCTTCTGGCAGTCATTAACCTGTCCACTGAGAAACCTTTAGCGATTCAGATGTATTATGGCTCTTGCAGGTCTGCTTTATTTCAGAGTCTGAACAGAACCTCTCATATAGTGAAGACATGCCAAAACCAATGTTAGCAGAGGTTTGGGAAGCTAGGGTTCAGCTTGTCTGTGTTTCTCCTTCACATCTTGTTGCGTTGCCTTCTCTGAATGTTAAGGCAGTGCTGAGCCTCTTCTCTTTTTAAATATGGATGATGTTAGACTGTTTAATCTGTTGTTCAGATATCTGCAGGCAAAAATAATGCTTTCTGTTTGTCTTCCTCCTTAGGAAACTCCTCTCGAGAGAGAAGCAGCCCCCCATAGACAACATAATTCGGGCTGGTTTGATTCCAAAGTTTGTCTCCTTCTTGGGCAGAGCAGACTGTAGTCCTATTCAGTTTGAATCTGCCTGGGCCCTTACCAACATCGCTTCTGGCACGTCAGAACAAACAAAGGCCGTGGTGGATGGAGGGGCTATTCCAGCCTTTATTTCACTGCTGGCCTCTCCCCATACTCACATCAGTGAACAGGCTGTGTGGGCGTTAGGAAATATTGCAGGTATGTCAATATGCTACACAACTCTCGGACCTGCTTCCTTATTTAAAATAGGAGGACATTACTACTGACATGTCATGTAGCATGCTGAGCTTCTTGGCTGCTCTGCCTTAATGCTTTTCAAGTGAGGACATGCTCTGCAACATAGAGTATGCTATGGACAATTCTTTATCTTCAGACCTGGTGTAAGATGTCTCAGGCAACACCTGGCAGCATGCGGGTTGCATTATGTGGATTGCTTCCATATTTCAGTTCAGTTTTGATAGAGTTATATAACAATGATACAACATAAGGCTTTTTCACATCTCTCACTTGATGTTTTTGTGACTTACCAGTGAGCTCCCCTCTCTGTGTTGACTAGAAAGGGGAAGGGAGGAAGCAGATGGCGCACATGATTGTGTATGTGATGGCCAATATTCCTTGCTTCGGAACAGCTGCTTACTGATGTGAAAGTACTGTATACTGAAGTTCTCATGCACCTTTCAGGATTACTTGATCTGTCAGTCTTGGATCCAATTCTGAAAAAAAAAAAAACCCTGGTCAAAATTAATAATATAGTTATAACATTGTATTTGCTGTAGTACTGTTTCCAACAGCTGTGCCTTACAGAGAACAGTGAATCTTCACACAGAAAATGAGCTCAATAAAAGCCTTGTTTGGTTGGAGTTTTCTTGAAGCTTGTCCTTTGAGGTTTTTTAAACTCAATTACAAGGTACTCTTTGTACCTTGAAATAGAATAATTTGGACAAAAACTATGACATTCCTTCAGCATTATACTATAGAACCCAATCATGCAACCAGTGATTATAATGCATTTGAAGTCCCATGTTGTGGGAAGAGCTCTGTTCCAGTGGTAGGGCTTAGGGATGTTTTCAAAGAAACATGCAAGTCCCTGCTTAGTTATGAACTCTAAGAAAAGCTGTATAGAAAACATACACTAAATTACTACTTTTTTCCACCAGAAAAAAAAAAAAATTAAACTATGACTTGATTAGAAAAACACATGCTTGTCATATGACTTAACCATGGTAGTAGTCCTTTTTGTCGTCTTATTTCTTTTTTCTTATCTAACCCTTCTTAAGCAGTAGAAGAATTCATCTAACACATAATGATTCTGTATGGACACATGCCTCTGTTCTGGTCTTCACCTGGCTATTTTTCTTTTTTTCTCAGGGGATGGCTCTACCTATAGAGATCTGGTTATTAAATTTGGTGCAATCGAGCCGCTGCTGAGTCTACTAGCTGTTCCTGATCTCTCTTCTTTGGCCGTAAGTGTGCAGTATGATTCAAGTTACAATTACTAGTAAGTGAGCAAAAGAGCTCAAGTAACTATACAGTTGCTAACCACTTATTTCAACTCTTGCAGTCTGGCTATTTACGCAACGTTACCTGGACTCTCTCAAACCTGTGTCGCAATAAGAATCCTGCGCCACCCATAGAAGCTATTGAGCAGATTCTTCCAACTCTTGTTCGGCTCTTGCACCACGATGATCATGAGGTGTTGGCAGACACGTGCTGGGCACTTTCCTATCTAACAGATGGTTCTAATGACAGGATAGAAGTTGTAGTGAAAACCGGATTGGTGCCACAACTTGTGAAACTCCTGGGATGCAGTGAACTGCCAATAATGGTAAGCCATCAGACATGCAGATTGCTGTTGCTTGACTGGAGTCTTGAATAAAACTGCAGTGAGAATAGTGTCCGTGTAACCAAATGGTTCTTTTCATACCTAAGCCTGATGCTTGTTCTAGGTTTTGTGTAGCTAAGACTTGAGCTTCCATCTTGCATGGAGACTGTCTCACATGAGGCATACATAGACTATGGCTGTTGCTGACTATCAAGCTTCTTTATAAAATCATTGGATTTAACATGCAGGCCAGCACAACAGTGGTTTAAATTAGAGTCCTTTAAAGCTTGCTTTTATCTCTAAACTACTGTTGCAAGCCCACATTCTAGAGACGGTGTTTAGAAGTGGGCTCTGAGCATGCTGTAATTATAGTATAATAAAACTGCATTAGTACTTAGGAGATGGTGTTCCTAAGCTCTGTTACGGGTAGTTGTTTGCAGATTGGCCTTGGAAGGTGTGCAGTCTTAGCATGCTTAATGTGTGTATATGTAATGCTGATGAGCTTAAAGCTCAGACAGCTTAAAGGTGTTAACTGGGAAGGTGACAGCAAAGGGACATCAGGTATGGCTGTATTTGTTCAAGCACAGATTAGATAACAGCAATTTTCCTAAGTACTATGTTTGTATTTGTTTCAGACTCCTTCACTAAGAGCCATAGGAAATATTGTCACTGGTACCGATGAGCAGACGCAGATTGTCATTGACTCGGGAGCGCTCTCTGTCTTTCCAAGTCTTCTTTCTCATCATAAAAGCAACATTCAGAAAGAAGCAGCATGGACAATGTCCAATATCACTGCTGGACGGCAGGACCAGATTCAGCGAGTTGTAGACCACGGTCTTGTACCTTACCTCATTGGTATTCTGAGGAAGGTAAACAAACCCTATGTTTACTACGTTGAGGCTTTTGCTATTACTACTACTATCTGTGTTCAAATACTCTGCTTTTACCTTCACAGGGGGATTTCAAATCTCAAAAGGAAGCTGTGTGGGCCGTGACTAACTACACCAGCGGTGGAACAATTGACCAGATCGTGTATCTCGTTCAGGCTGGTGTTGTTGAACCCCTGCTGAATCTCCTCTCAGCTAAAGACAGCAAAACTGTGCTAGTGATCCTGGATGCCATTTCTAATATCTTCTTGGTATGTGGATGCAGTATATACTCAATTGTTATCTAGGCTGTTGTTAATGGTTCTCCAGTAGTTGGTGCCATACATCTTTCCTGAGGTTATTGTATGCTCGTTTGTCACAGGCTGCTGAGAAGATCAATGAGACTGAAAAACTTTGCCTCATGATTGAGGAGTGTGGGGGTCTAGACAAAATTGAAGCTCTCCAGTCGCATGAAAACGAACAAGTGTACAAAGCCTCATCCACCCTGATTGAGAAATACTTCTCAGCAGAAGTAAGTGGCTGCAGGATGACTTTTTTCCACTTTTGTTTTCTATTCTAGCCCTGACTATGAGGTTAAAATGCTATTGCTCTTTCAAAACTCTTTTCTTTCTTCTAGGAGGAGGAAGACCAAAACGTTGTACCAGAATCTACTGCTGCCAGCTACACTTTCCAAATTCAGGGCAATGCTCCAGATACTTTCAACTTCTAGATCTTGCATATACTGCAATCCCCTGCAAGTCACTGGGCACACAAATGACTGCCACCTTTTTGTCTTAATAGTTCCTCCTGTTTTTACTGTGTTTTTTATGTGACCTGTAGCACTTTGTCCAACTGAAACATACTTGAACAGTTCAAAACTGTACATATTATGTGAATTTCTAACTGTAAACTTCATTCTTTCAAAGATATACTTGTAAATACTTGTTCTCTTTCTGGCTCTTGCTGTCCCTGTCGGGCATGAGAATGCAAGTGGGCAATACAGGCTTCTCGCAAAGCATGAGCCACTACTCTGCAAACCTCTTCGTAACCTATTACCTTCTACACAACCTACTGCTGTAATCAATACGCTGAGTAGGCTTTTAAAGAGGATTTACGTTTGAAGTTCAATAAAGTGGTATCAATACATTGAACTGTGTCAATTGCTCTCTTAAAAGGTGACTGATATGGTAAGTATACTTAATCAGAAATGTATAATGGCAAGAATGCGGGTCTAAACCATGAGAGATTCGGTTCTGAAGATGGTGGTTTTAAAAGGGCTTGGTCCCCCCAGGCTCTGACTTCTGTGTCTCGCAGCCCTCGGTTACTGCAGAACAAACTGCTGCTTCTCTCTCAGTATCCCTCACAGAAGTCTGATTAGCAGTACCCTGCTCCTCACTGAGCCAAACTGTCTTCTGCCTCTTGGAGAAATATTTAGAGTGTAGTAGTACTACTTAGCTGCAAGTAATGGTGTGGAGGAGGGGTAAGTACAGCAGTTAACCAGGTGTAAGTGTGTTCAGGCAGCCTTAGCATAGAGCACAGAAAATGCTTTGCGGCAATTGCCTGCCCTAAGAGAGCAAAAGTGAAGGCCTTGTCTTGGCATCTATTGTCCCTTTACTGCTAAAATCATTATTACAGTAACCTCTGTCTCTGAAGGTGGCTGTGCAGGGTGGGGTTTGGGGGTGGAAAGGAGGAACTGTAGTCCTGTTTTCCAGCTTTTTGGAAAAACTTGGATTTGGCTATTTCACTAACTGGAACCTCCCAGGAGTCAATATGTCTGCATAACTACATTGTCTCAGCTCTCTGAGCTCCTCGTGCTCTTATGGTGGTGCAGGAGAGGTCAGTTTTTCATAAGCATGACTTATGTTTGAAACATAACATGTCACTTCAGTATTGTATGTTAGATAGATAGCTCTTCAATTGTTAAGAAAAGGTGGTGGTGGTGAAATCTAATGTGTAGACAATTCTCCCAGAGTTTCTGTAGGCTTTGCTTCTGCCTTTACGGGAATGAAGGGGAAAAAAAAAAATACGAACCACACCCCTTGTATTCTGCTGAGTGAACCTGATGAAAGAATCTGGTTTGGTCTTATGGGCTGCTTGTTGTGTGCTTTCGAGTCTGTTTCATGTATAAGTGGATTTGGGTGTAACACACTTTAAATTCTTCATTAAGAATACTTGATCTTGAAAGGACGCTCTTTCTAAACCCAGATTACCACTTACTGCTACTGTCGAAGATGCCACTCGCTTCCCTTCTTGCTGTGCAAGGCTCTACTGCCTGCTTCACAGCTGCATGCAGAAATGGTGCCCTCCCTGACTGGAGGCCGATGGTTACACACGCACCCATCTGCCACCGCTGTGCCAGCCCCTAGGTCCTGCTGGATGGTGGTGGTGTTACGACAGGTAGCAGGCACTTCGTCTGCGCATGCGTTCATAGCTGCTCTGATGGGTAGCAGCGATAATGCTTCCTGCAGAGCGCTCGCTCCTGAACTCGCCTGCGTGCACGTGCTTCTGCTGGGCTGGTTAAGCTGCAGGAGTTCCTCCATCCAGCTCAGAACGTGGCTGTCACTGGTTTATCCACAGGGCTGCAGTTTTTACAGGTCACAAAAGAGATTGTCTTGCAAAAATCACAATCTCCTGAGCTGACTGAGGATGACTTCCTGCTTTTGACTGTATCACTTGAACTGCTTTTTCTTTACCTCAAAACAAAGCCGCAGCAAGTAATAAGCTTTACTTTAGGAGTCTTTAGAGACAAGGGGACTAACGGCTATTGTAACCCTATTGCATCTTCTGCTGGAGAAGCCGATGTCAGCGTTACTGACCTTCTGTCTCTGTGCCTGCGCTGCCAAAAGAAGGGTGCGACCGAGGTGTGGCCGGGGCAGGTCCCCACCCCTGCCAGCCTGCTGCACCGATGGGCGAGACCGCAGGTGGCACCCAGCGCCGGCAGAAGAAGCCATGGACGGTGCCAGGCTGAGGAGCAGAACGCAGGTCTGACACCACGGATACTGCAACACCCTTGGGACCAGATTCTGGTGTTATCTTAGCAGTACCCGTGCAAAGTGGAAAGAACCACTGAAGCCTTTAACCTTCTGGGGGAGAAAAACAACTAAATAGGGCTTTTACGCACCTGCAGTGAAGCCTCGTCTGTCCTTTGCTTTGTTGTCAAACCTCCAACTTTGACCTAAAAGCATCAGTTAAAATCATGATTTTCTGCGTAACTCTCTGTGGAGAACGGAAAGAATTAACCTGTATAAAAGCAATTATGCAAAGTCAGCTTTCATAAATGAAATCATTGCTTCCATGTACTTTATCTTTGTGCGTTTATAAGAGCAATGACACAATGACTTGTGAAACATAATTCAGAATTCTTGAGCAATTTTAGATTTCTAACGCTATCGCATCTTCCAGTAGAGGGTGCCACAGGCAACCGCACGGTCCCGTTTGCTTCCAAGAGGTTGGCGTGGAGTTTGATCCAGCCTGCACCACGCAGGTACGATGTGCTTTATTTTCCTATTAAGAAAATACCGAGATAAAATCTATCGGGCACCTCTTCTAGTTACAGAAAACATCTGTGTGCTAATTCTTGAGTATTTAACCAGATTAAATGTTGAATATAAGGTATAATCTTTTAAAACTGGTATCTCAGGGTTACGTTAAAACACAAACCCTTGCTGTAACTGCTTTTTAGCATATATGCAGTAAATTTGACTTTTCTGTCTCTGTGTGTAGAAGAGGGGATGAGAATGCAGAACATTTGTTGAATAGTGTTATCTCGACTTTTTTCCTGAAGTGCTTGTTTCGGAATTATCTAACATACTCAGTTAATAACAGAACGCTGCAAATTCTTCTCTAGATGCCTGACAGCTCAGTGGCTTAATAATTAACTTTCTGGGGACTGAGACTTTGTTGTTATCCAAGAAGAATGCGTTCAGCCTATCCAGCAATGAACCCTGTTCTTGGCAGCAGGTATTTCCAAAGCAACAGCCTACAGTGACTGTGAGTAAGTGACCGGCGTGAGTCACTCCTTACTCTAACACAAATGCAACTGATTGCTGAGGTTAGGATCGATCATGGTCACCCATTAGGCTGTGTCTCTAGCTTAAAAAAAAGTGGTAGGAGCAAAAAGGGAGAGGAGAATTGTTATTGCTCCCAGTTCTTGGTTTGTTGGTTGGTTTGGGGTTGGTTTTTTGTTGTTGCCCAGCCAGATTTAAGAGCTAGCCTTCTTTATTTGGCAAATGCCTAATTCAGGACAAGGGGTGGAATAAATGTCTGGTGGCCTATGTGTCAGCCTGCCAGCTCCTCTGTGCCGAGAGCAACAACAACAGACCCCTGCTGACATCCACTGGCTTGGAATGCAGCTGCTGCTAACGCTGTTTTATCTGTGGAGCGATGGCAAGATTTCAGTCCAAGATCTCGGCAAACGTAACCACCTCTGAAATTCTGATGCTAGCAGATGCTGCCTCTGTGATTGCTTCCACTTGCTGTTTCCAAAGATGCTAGGCTCTGAAAGAAGAGCAGAGGCTTTGCAGTCCTGTTCTGCAATAGCCTGTCTGTTCACTTTCTGCTACAGGATGAACAGTTTAAACGGTGGAAAAGCTATAAATGGTTAAATGAGGAGAAATCTATTCTTTATTTCCCTGTGATTTAAACTGTGAAATATTCTCTGAAGTGAAGCTGCTTCCTACTGCTCTATACAGAATGATTTAAATGGCACTACAGTGGTATATCAGCAAAAAGGAACAGCTGTAACTTTGCAGGAAAAGGAATTCACTAGCTAACAATATTTCACAGATCTCTTCTGTTTCTAAATCTATTTTACAGCCGAGCAAACTGAGATATAAGAAAGTTATCCACAGACATCCAGAAAGTCGCTGGTAGAATTAACCTGGCGCCTGGCAATCCTGATGTCCACTCCCCTAGTTAACCCGTGGCACCTCTGGTCATGATTATCCTTTTGCTGAATATAGGATTATCCCAGGAGTATTGAATCTCTTTTGTGATAAGGTACGACATGATGTTTAAGCACAGGTCTAAACTTTGGGCGTGTGTGCAATTGGGGAAAAAAGTACGGTTATTCAAAAGAGGAGTAATTAACGAAGGTTAATTGTGACTGGTGACATTTGGCCTATAGAGGAAAATGTTGGGACTTTCACTTAAAACCTAATAGGAAACACATTAACCCTTTGGTCTGAGTTACAAACTTAAGCTTGACTCACCTTCAGGGGAGCATGTTAAGAGAAAAGACTAAGAGGGAATCGGGTGACCCCTCCTACGGATGGGAGGCGTGTACCCAACCCAACTGCAAATTTCAAAAAAAAAAAGCATGCACGAGAACGTTCAAGCTACAAGTGTGCAAAGCTGTTCACCGTGTTTGGAAAACACTTCCTTCTTATTGATCCACGGCACGGCACTGATAGGAGCCGGGCAGAAGCTCAGCATGTAGACAGCGAAGAAAGAACGAACTGATTTGCTGCGAGTTTCGCAGCACATCATATGGAATAAGGGTCACTGGCTTCCAGTCCCGTTCCTGACTGCAGAGCACTGTCTGTCTCAGCCTGGCTCCAGGAAACGGACGCTCCTCCGCAGCAGCCAGAAGATTTCGTGGAAGAGCCATGGCCTGTTTCCAGGTTGCAGTTCACCCACTGCCCTAGGGAGTGTCATTAGTGGGAGGGAAGTGCAGTTGGGATTTAAAGGGATGAGGACAGGAGAGAAAAATTAAAGCAGGGTGGAGAAAAC